TATATATATATATATATATATAGACTTGGGATCATGTGAGACCAACCTGTTTTCGTGAGACCCGTGAGACCAGCATTTTACACTTGAAACTTCACATCAAAATGCTGTGAATGTAACTTTTTACAACCTTCACAGCGTTTTTGCTGTGAAGGTTCGACTTTTTTTAAACCTTCACATCGTTTTTGCTGTGAAGTTTACGTGTAAAAATGTGGTCTCACGGGTCTCACGAAAACATGCTGGTCTCACGTGAACCCAACCCTATATATATATATATATATATATATACTAGTTGTGTACTCGCGCAATGCAGCGGGAGCCGTGAATTTTAACGATTTTGAAGCTTAGTTTTGTTAGAACAAGCAGTCAACAATCATCAAGCTTTCAAAAAGCATTATCGGTTAAAAAGTTGAAATTTCTGAGAATAGTTATACATAGCGTTTAAAATGGTAACGATGGCTTGCTGCAGCTGAACTTGTAGAGCTGCCGAAACTGCCTCCTGCACCCTCGCCTTTGCCTGCCAAACTTGAGCAAAACGACTTTCTCCGCCTTTACCTCCTTGTCCCTTTATCATTTGTGACGCCGACTCCTTCGCCGCCCTGATCAGCACAAAATAGTGTTGTTGCTTCTTTTTTACAAATTTACGCCTAAGCTCTTCTTCCTGGAAGAAACCTATTTTCAGCTATCAAATTGCCAAAAGCAAATCCATATGTTTCAATTTGTTTAATGCTCAATTTCATATATGGACTTGAAGATAATGCTCAATTTCATCTCCTTGTTGATGGATTAGGTTGGATAAATCTTCTGATAACAAAGATAACAACTTAAAGGCCAGCAGCCTTCATCAACAGAAACCATATATTTAATGCATTTCCTTTTGGGTGCTTCAAAATGGTACACACTAAACATATAAAGATGGCTTCTTGTTTACCTTGAGAAAGTTTATAGAAGGGTATCGGGTGCATAAGGTGTTAAGAAACGGAGATATCTGCTTGCATTGAAGATCGGACGTTGTTTTGAAAAGAACAACAGAAGCTCCTGCATTTCAAACTTAAAATATCAACAAAACTTCCAAAAAAGGACAAAGAATTAGAGCGCATTTTGGGAAGAATAAAGAACCAACCAGTCGAAGCAACTGCAGCTTTGAACTGATCAAGACCAGCAATCAATTCAACTTCACCACCAAATTTCATGTTATACACTTCTTCGCCAAGGGATTTCTTCAACGCCACCTGGGCATGAAATAAAGATTCGGCTATATCGTTGTTGTTTGGAAGCTCTCTCCTCAAAACTTCATAATCTACATTCGATTCAGCCCATCTCTCAAGCTGTGAATGCAAAATAAAAAGCATTTCACAAATTTAAATTGAAAACAACATGTACCATTGATTTTTATAAAACAAAAAACATCTACATTCGATTTTTTAAAACTGGACCCACTGTCAAACAGAACATTGCTTTCTTTAATCAAACCAAATGGGCACACAACTTCCGTCAAAAGAAATCAAAGAAATCGGACAGAAAAGGATTGAAAAAACCCTAAATCGATGGAGTACCTTTACAACCCTCATCTCAACCATTCAATTTTTAATCAATTAATTGTTTCCTAATATAAAGTATTAATCATAATTAATAAACTCTATTCATATTCCATAAATATTCAAATCATAATAAATGAACTCCAATCATTT